GATTGTAAATTCTCTGCTTTCAGCTCACTGATCTTCCAAATAAAGTTTGGAATAAATCCTTCTTTTGCAGTTGTCACACAAGGCCTTGGCTCACACGACACACCTACCCACAATCCTCTGTTTCAAAAACAAGTTTTTAAGAACAGATCTAACTTGCAAACCTCTTGAATCATCATGAGGAACCAGACACGGACAAGAAATTTTTGGATAGCATGTTCTTTCAAAAGTTTCTGTAAAACTCTGTGCAGTATGTAGGGGACTCTAGCATATATTTTTTAATATACTAAAAAGATAAAAGAACTGCTATCTAAGTGAAATGCATGGGGCATTTCTTTAATTTTGTATAGCAGACAGAATCCTGCAAATCACTCAAAAAGGGTATTTCTGTTACATATGCCTCTAAATTTCCTGCAAGATTAAAACAAATGCACTTGCGTATTTCTGATTAATTTTACCTTGACAATAGTCATAGGACTATTCCATTAGTATTATCTCTATACAACAGTCTTAAATAGAGAAGAGCTCTGCAGCCTTCTGATGTCTCATCAATTCATCCTGGCTAATGAAAAAAATCCAGAAGTATATTAAAATTATATTTGTATTTGTATTAATTTATCTTACCTTTTTATGCAGAGTTTCAAGGGAACAAAACCATGATTAAATATCTTTAAATCATCATAATAATTTTTATACATCTCAGCCATTTTCTTTGGAATTCTCAGAGTAGAACACTGAGAGACATTTGATGTTACTGTTACTCACTTGAAATATGGTCATTTTGTCATTTTAATTCAAGGATACATACACTACACAGACCTACAGAGCATGAGGACTTTTCAAATGATTGAAAGTTAGCCCATGTTTACCCATTTTGCTAAACCGAGATTACTCTCAGCCAATCTAAAACCACTGGTGAATTTTGTCCATGAGCTCTGGTGCATTTCTCTAACCCGTAATAGAATTTACATAGTTCTTCCTGTTTACTTCTAACTTCTGGGTGGAATGTTAGATTTGAGTAATTATAATGCTTCCACATTTCACTGACCTGCAGAAGAGGTACGACCTACAGTGTTCTATATATTATTCCATTATTATATAATGGACTTGTGGGAGCCCCCGGTGGTCTAGGGGAAATGACACTGCACTGTCACTGCAGAGACCCGGGTTCGATTCCCGGTCGGGGCCCCTCCCCGGGCAGATGGAGCTCGTTAGCCCATAAGGCAATCCATCTACGTCCTGAGGACCTCACTGCCACCGTCCAAGCGTGCTTGGCCCCGGCAGATGAACCTTGGGATT